TGATTTGGGGGGGGGGGCGGCGGCAGAGAAAGTGCTTGGCAGTAAATTTTGAATATATTGCTGAAAGACACAGATATATCCAAAGATTACAATCTACTCGCATATTAAGTGGTCTCCCTAACGCATACTTACTGATGACGTTACAATAATTCACAAAAAATGTTAGTTGTTGAACCGATAACTGGTTTGTTTGACACAGGTTTCTTTGTATTTCACGCAAACTGCGGATGAACCGAAAAAAACAAAGCCTTAAAAGAGTCTTAGCATCATCTACAGAGGCTTCCATCCCGTCGATGACCAGCCTACAGCATGATAGCACTATTTAATCTTCGATACAACAAAAGAGGATTTTTTCTGCAGTAACTTTATTGGAGACTCTAGTTCGACTTTGATACTCATTGAATATCGGGAACAGTTTTTTTTTGTTTTAGGGCAAGAGTTAACCAATTTTTCGCGTTGTTAAATATCGCTGGCTGTATTTTTCGCTGGATACACGGGACGCTGTCAGATAACTTGCTGCTCTCTGGTAACAAAATAACTGGTTTTGATTTGGCCTCACCATCTCTTTTCTGTTTTTTTCCGCCTAAATATCTGAAGGTTTGCCTGAACCAAACACAAGCGTCCCTTGTTCAGCTCTAGCTACCTGGCTCCCATGCCAACCGAAGGAAGTATGAGGACTCAGTTTTCGACGAAATCAGTCGAGATCATAAGGTTGAATTTGAGTCAATGACCCTTTGATCAGTGAAATAGCACCGCTGAGCCATCCCGGATAGGAATTTTCAGCACTATTCTTTAATCCAACGCATTTGAAGACTCTAGGAATACAATCCAGGCTGTTGGGTACCGCTTGGTCAACCTGGTCTTGTATGCAGACATATCAAAAGTTGAATGCTGCATTCGGTTTCTTGTTCTCAGAGACTCAGTTGCGTCTCTCGTGGAAACAAAAAAGCACCTGTTTTATTTCACAGATCTTTGAGTATCAAGCAATATACACCCTCTACACAAAGAACTGTCAGTCGCTTGAACGAATTGAGCGATAAATCTGGTTGGAAAGGCGCCCCTCATGTTACCACATAGGCAGGTTAATATTTGTACCAGTCAGGTCCCAAAAGCTGACTAGGCTAAACTGAAACACCGTTTTCATAGAGCTATTCTCTTTGACCAACATCCAACCTAGAATGACGAAGCGTTCTCCGGAGCGTTAGGAGACAAAGATCACAACTCAGGCACAATTTTGTTTATTTTTGCAATTTCTTTCAGCAAATCAACAATATTGGTCACAATTAACGATTACTGATGACATAACGGTCACATGTCCTCTGTTAATTTGGCGGGTTATGCTCTCTGCTGTCTTCGGTCGCTTCGATTTTTCTTGGCTATTGTAACGCACTGTATTTTGCAGCTATGCCAAC